CATGGCTAAAGTTTTCTTAAATGTCACAACAAATAATTTTTCGTTTCATGTCCGCCCCATACTCGTTCCATGTTTGTATCCATATTCAAGTTTTTTCGTATCTAGTAGGCTATTGCGCACGCCATTCTTTGGTAGTGGGCTTAATTCTTTCTTCTCTAGTAGGTTATCGCAGTCAGTTGCTTTGTTTTGGTTTTTATCTATGTTGACTTAGATTTTAATATGTTCTAGCGATGTTTTTGTATTTGTATATCGTGTTGGGTTGTTGTTAGAGATAATATTTATTTTGATAGGAGAGTGAAGTTGTTCTATGCATGCTTTGTTGTACCTTAACGTTTCGGCCCCGGTTGAGTGAGCCGTTGGGAGCTTCTACTCCATATTGAAACCCCGGAATTTGCTATAACGCTTACATGGGTCAGTGCATGTATTTCTCGCTCAGCTCGCTCGCTTAGCTTGTTTCTTTCCCACTCGCTCCAGTGCTAGCTCATGAAAAAACTGCTATATTTCTTATTTGAAAAACTTCATTAAATAAAAAAGTGATCGTAGTTGTTTTTAAATGTGGATAATTTAAAACAAATAATTCTTAAATAATCATGAATTTTAGAAAGTTTCATGGATTTCGAACAATGTTCAAAAAATTTGAAAAAAGATTCACAAATTTAAATTGTTCACAAACTTAAAAATATTTGTGGGCATTAAAAATATTAATGAGTTTGAAAAATAATATTTGATTTTAAAAATGGTTATGATTTATGAAAAATTGCATGAATTAAAATGTGAGAAATAAGGAGAAAAAAATGAAAAACAGTGCAAAAAACAATTAAAACCGGAAGAGAAAACACAGAAAGAAAAGAAAAACTGAATACCAGACAATATTTTCTATAACCTTTTCAAAACAAGGAATAAGTTTGACGCAATACTATATAGATGTGCATTACTCTCAATCAGACACACACTCTTCATAGCGATTGCACAGCCCTCATTGCACGAGAAGGCTTCAAATCATGGAAGCTTAGGGCATCTCCAACGTTCATCTCTAAATCCGACACCGTAAATTTCAGACATAATTTACATAAAACGATTGATATTTTGACAGTTTAACTTAAAACTAGAAAAATACTAAAGCTTGTAGCGGAGGACGATCTCGTACGCGTGGCCGCACCGCCGTCGCCATCCGTGCCGTCGTTATCGTCGTCATCGTCCCTCCAACGACCTTGGAGGTTGCGGGGCAGCCGCAACAGCCTTGTCCGGCAGCTGTCTGGCACTCGCGGAGGAGCAACTCCGCTTCCTCCTGTGCGGTGTAGAGTGCTGACGCCGCCAATGTTGATGGCGCCCGTAGCCCTAGCGGTGGCCTTGCCCCTGCCGACATTGGTAGAGGAGTCCCTAAGCGACCACTCCTCTCTGATCTTTGCGAGCTCGCTGTCAAGGCGGCAGCGGCGCCTCGCTACCGTCTCTGCGGCGGTGACGGGGCAGTCGAGGGCCTATGCAGCATCCGATTTGGTGAACGCAGAGCGGTGGGTGGCGTTGCGCCGCTCATACCGCGCCGCCTGCCAGGGGCGGAGCCAGAAAATTTAACCATTGGATTCACTCACTGACTTGTGAGAATTTGATAAAAATTGATACGTGTAAAGCGTAATTGTACACACTCTTAGAATAAGAGTATATACTCAAAGTTATCATAACAATATAATTATGATATCGCTTATCACATATTGTGTTACAGTGAAAAAAACTGAAGAGTGTTGTACATACCTGTTGAATGAAATCATAAAACCTCTTTTTTACATATTATAAATAATGTGGTACTTAAAAGCTTCATAAATTCAAGTCTTGGCTGTGGTTTCTCGTCTTCCTGAAAACATTGAATCAAATGGCAAGTTTAAAATAAATACCATCAAATCAAGCAAAAGAAACATGTTACGTCACTCGCATTTTCGAGAGCCCCATTTAAATTTTCAAAAATTTGAAAAAGATCAAAAAATCATTAAATACCAACGGTAGAAAATATAGTTTTCTCCGCATAGCAAATTAAAGACCGCTTGCAAGCTGCTATTCGATGCACTTTGCCTATGCCTATCGGGCGGCCTTGAAGTGCCTGCATCACTATCTGGATCTGGTGATCGACTTCCCTTTAAGAAACTCCGTTCAATAGGCTAGGTCAATCAAATTACATGGAATAAGCAATAAGCAAACTAGGGCATGTGCAACAGAAAGGAGATGTGATGACTGATAATGCAATCTCAATACCTTGAATTTGAACTATAATAGTCGTCTTGCCGCTGTAGAGACCTCGTTGTCGTCTCGTTGCTGGTGTGTCAAGTGGTGGCAAATTGATGGCAAATAGGAGAGATCACATCACATAGTCGAGGAAGTGAACAAGCAGGGCGAAAGGTCATGCGGCTGCCGTGTACACATACAGGAGAATATGAATAAGGGATCAAAGCAAAACATGATCCTCGATGCAGAAACAAAATGAGCAGGAAGCCACAAAGCGGCTTTGTCACGGTGGCAATTCCCTTGTGGCTTTTTGGGCTTTGATTGAGCGATTCTAAATTTGATGGGGCCAGACCGTATTTTTTTTTTGGGTCAAAGCATGTACGTAATATTTGATTTTAAAAAAATGGTTATGATTTATGAAAAATTGCATGAATTAAAATGTGAGAAATAAGAAAAAAAATGAAAAACAGTGCAAAAAACAATTAAAACCGGAAGAGAAAACACAGAAAGAAAAGAAAAACTGAATACCAGACAATATTTTCTATAACCTTTTCAAAACAAGGAATAAGTTTGACGCAATACTATATAGATGTGCATTACTCTTAATCAGACACACACTCTTCATAGCGATCCCACAGCCCTCATTGCACGAGAAGGCTTCAAATCATGGAAGGGCATCTCCAACGTTCATCTCTAAATCTGACACCGTAAATTTCAGACATAATTTACAAAAAAACAATTGATATTTTGACAGTTTAACTTAAAACTAGAAAAATACTAAAGTTTGTAGCGGAGGAGGACGATCTCGTACACGTGGCCGCACCGCCGTCGCCATCCGTGCTGTTGTTATCGTCGTCGTCGTCCCTCCAACGACCTTGGAGGTTGCGGGGCAGCCGCAACAGCCTTGTCCGGCAGCTGTCTAGCACTCGCGGAGGAGAAACTCCGCTTCCTCCTGTGCGGTGTAGAGTGCTGACGCCACCAATGTTGATGGCGCCCGTAGAACCCTAGCGGTGGCCTTGCCCCTGCCGACATTGGTAGAGGAGTCCCTAAGCGACCACTCCTCTCTGATCTTTGCGAGCTCGCTGTCAAGGCGGCAGCGGCGCCTCGCTACCATCTCTGCGGCGGTGACGGAGCAGTCGAGGGCCCATGCGGCGCCCAATTTGGCGAACGCGGAGCGGTGGGCAGCGTTGTGCCGCTCATACCGCGTCGCCTGCCTCATCACGCGCTCCTCGGTAGACACGACAGCCCATGAGCCCAAGTGACAGCTGCCATCGCCGTAGGTAGTGGAGGATGCAACCGAGCCTTGTCGATCGTGGGCGGAAGTTCGTCCTTGATGAACCAGCCATGCCGGTTGTGGCGGGGAGGCGACGATGGCCCGTCGATCAGGGGGTTTTGGCTATGTGGTGATGGATATGCCGTCTCATCCTTAACGGGGCACATGCTTTGAACGGCGTGATTGCGTGTCAATGATGCCGGCTCCTGCTTGACGCGGCTGCCAATTTGGATGCCACCGTGGTTGCATAAGAGGGGGGACGCGGGCTCCTCCTTCATGCGGTAGGGTGGTAGGGAGAACGACTCCTCCTTGACGGAACATGGCAGCAAGGGCGGCGGCTAGCCACCCTCTCGGAGTGATTGCTCTGTCATCAACAACATCTGATGGACGAGTTCCTTGTCCATCAGAGCAGGCTCCGCGAGGAGGCGTAGCTGCTACTACAGTGACGTCCGATCCTCCTTGTCACCGGAAGAGTTGACAATCTCCTCCTTGCAGGAGGAGCCAGCCACCATGGAGCCCAAGGGCGACGGCCAAGAGCCCGACGAAGATCCACTCATGCCGCCCCCACCTGTTGGTGTGAAGAACCACGACTTTGTCATCGCTGTGAGAGCAGGAGCTCAAAGAGAAAGAGGGGCTCAGAGAGGAGGATATGATCTGGAAATGTGGATGTGCATCGCCGGAACACGACATATATATATCCGCGGCCATACCATGCGAATGGACGGTCAGCCTACTTCGATGCGGCATAGTGGACGGAGTTGGTTTCTCGATAAGCGGCATCCGCATTGAAGCGTTGTCGCCCAAGAGGTCACGCCTGTTAGTGACACCCTCCCGTCCGGTCACGTCGCGCAACATCAATGTTGGCTACTATGTGGTCTAGGTTGGCATGAATGTGGTGCGGGAAGGGGCGCGTGCGTTGTATGGAAACCGCGGGAGAGGTGGGAGTGGTTTCTGGGTGGGCCAGGGTTATCGAGCGCTCGAAAAGCCCTCCCCCCGTTTGCTTCCGGTTTGCAAGTAAAAATGACGTGTGAACCGCTGAGCGGACCGACACAGAACTGAGTTGAATGGCAAAATACGTCTGGACTTCCGAACGGTTTCAGGGTCCGCACCCGTAGTATCTTAGGAGTAATATAATATATAAGTGTGCAGTAGTTTCTGGCTTATAGAGGTGCAAGTAGTAGCAGACTTTTGCCTTTGGGCCTCTCCTTGGGCAGTTCCAGCTATCAGCGTTCCACACACAAAAAAAGGAAAAATATCAACGTATCAAAGGGCAGCTGGGACGTCTCCTTTGCCAGCTCCACCGTTAACTTCGTTGGAGTAACAGCACCAATATTTTTGGGATGTTGAGACTTGAGAGTATCGCCCAATGGAATTAAATGCTTTGTGATTTATAAATGCCACGTGTCATCCATCAGGATGGGTCTCACCTGCTAACTATGAGACCTGGTCTCATATAATTTTTTTCCGTGTGCATGCCCAGATACAACCAAGCTTACCACAGCTAGACAACTAAATGAGCATGGCGCCATCGTCCACGGATGAGCATGCCATTGACGAGCTTGCCATCGCCATTGACGAGCTTGCCATCACCATCACCGAGCTTCCACTCGAGACGCGGTTCCCGCCCTTCCGTCTGAGGCAGTACGGCGGGTTCTGGCTGCTGGAGAAGTTCCTCCAGGGCGTTCCGGCCGTCCACTCCGTCTTCGAGCCGAGGCCGTCCGACGTCCTCCTCGCCAGCTTCCCCAAGCGCGGCACCACCTGGCTCAAGGCCCTCGCCTTCGCCACGCGCAACCGGGCTGAGCACCCGCCGCGTGGCCTTGACCACCCGCTCCGCCGCCGCAACCCTCACGACATCGTCCAGTACCTGGAGCTGCAGTTCGCGCAATCCATGGGCCACGTGGTGGCGGCGCTCCCTTCCCCGCGCGTGCTCGCGACACACCCGCCCTACTCCCTCCTGCCACGGCGCATCACGGCGGAGGACTCGGGCTGCCGGATCGTCTACATCTGCCGGGACCCCAAGGATGCATTTATCTCCTCGTGGTTCTTCACCAAGAAAACCGTGGCGGCGGTCGCTGCGCGGGCACAAGCCGGCGAGGAGCCGCCGCCATACACGTTTGCGGAGGCGTTCGAGCTCTTCTGTGATGGCATATGTGTCAGCGGCCCGCAGTGGCAGCACGTGTTGAGCTACTGGGAGGCGAGCAGGAGGCAGCCGGAGAAGGTGCTCTTCCTCCGGCACGAGAAGATGCTACGGAACCCCACGAGCAACGTGAAGAAGCTGGCGGAGTTCATGGGGTGCGCCTTCTCCGGCGAGGAGGAGGCGACGGGGGTGGTGGAGGACATCGTGGAGCTGTGCAGCCTCGAGAGCCTCAAGAACATGAACGTGAACAAGAGTGGCAGCCATGGTCCGCTGGCGCACGAGTCCTTCAGGAAGGGTGTGGCCGGGGACTGGAGCAACCACATCACGCCCGCCATGGCGGAGAGGCTCGACAAGATCGTCGAGGACGCGCTGCAAGGATCGGGATTGACCTTTGATGTCGCAGCAGAGCCGTCTGCATGAGTGCGCATGGGCCATGGCATATGTGTTACTATGTATTTTCTCGATGCTTCATTTTGAACCAATAAAATCCATACTTCTGTTATTAAAAAATAAAATGGCATGCATGCATGCCCTCCGTAGGCCATTTTCTGTATTTTTAATTCTGTAAGCATGCCCATGCAGCATGCACGTAGCCTGGGGACTGCACTACCAGTCAGCGTGGCACGTTCATGTGATCAGATCACGACGGGCTACTCTTTTGGTTGTAACCAGGATAAGGGAAAGGAAGGAAAATAGAAAACGCGGCAGCACAAAATATCCTCTATCTCTCGCGCGTGTCTTGTGTGTTCCTCAGCTAATCGGCAACGATAAACTTGCCATGTAAAATAAAGGGAAAACAGTACAAGTAAGATGCAACAAAATTGCTATGTGTTGGAGATCAAAAGATGTGAAAATTACCATCAAGATATATGAGATCACTACTAATAGATAGAATTGGCAATTTTGCACTTCCTTATTGAAAAAAAAAGGATGAGAAAGTATCTACATTTGCCATGTGACTACGATGCAATTACAAAATTGACATACTCTAGAGTACAGAAATGACTAAATTTGCAATCCTTTCCTAGAATAAAAATGGACATTACAGAAAATACTAAAATTAGCCATGAGACTACGATGTAATTACAAAATTTCCATGATGTATATTAAACAAAATTGACTGAATTTGGCATCCTTCCCTCAATAAAATTTCCATAGAGTAATTATCAAAATTGACATGGTGTATCTAAGGAAAAATACCAATGTCAAATTGGTAAAATTTCCATGGTTTAAAAATAAATAAATTGCCACAGTATCTACAAAATAAAAAAGTGCATGGGGAAAATAAAAAAAAGATCTCCAAAAAAAGTGGAATATACAAAACCTTTTATTGCCATGGCAACAAAAATTAAAATTTTCCATGTATGCTAAAGTAAATTTAACATGGAAATAAAGGTAAATTTGCCATGGCAAAACAAAAAAATATTTTTTCCATGGAAATAAAGGCCTGCACTGGGCTATGCAGGGTAGCCTGGCCGGGCATTAAATGCTCGGTCGGTAGAGTGGGCTGCAAGGGCAACCCATCTCGGTGTCGTGTGTCCAGTATGGTCGCGGCCTTAGCCCCCCCCGAGTTCGTCATTGCTCGCGTCATCAGGTTTTTCTGGGGTCTTCTGTGGTGATATGGTGGAGGTGGCGAGGGTTCTCGTCTTTTCGAGACAGATAAGAGCATAATATTGAGATAATCATCTCCATGTTTATTTTCCATTCACCCCTGATATTTTCGAGGAGGCTCATTTACTAAGTATAGCAGATACCCTGGCATCCAATGTTCCGTCAGTCGGCCAAGGTGAAGTAGATCGAGAGTTGACGACAATCTAGGCAGCATCGGGGTTGAGAGAAGGCAGTCGCTCGATATGGTCGTGGACCCGGTATTGCCTGAGGACACATGTGAAGATGGTACGGCATTTATTTAGTTGTTCTCGACCGGATCGAGTTTGAAACAGATATATGTGGTTGAAGATGTGGTCATTATGGAAGTTGAGAAGAGTGGAATCCACCGGCAGAGCGGCGGCAGGAGGAACTACAGGTGTGATGGCCGAAGAGGCAACAAAGGTGGTGGAGGAGAGGTCATGGGAGGAGTGGGCAGTCGACGAGCTGGCGGTGGAGGAAGGGTGCTCACCGAAGATGTCCTCAAAGGTCATGGGGATTGATACCAAGCTAGAGGAAAGAGATGGCACACTATACTATTGTATTGAAAGTGTTACAGAGATGGTACAATATATGACGAGCCCCCAACTGCTCCCGTCGTTGTAGTCTATCTACAGTGTGAGATCCTAGAAACTAAGGGAAACGTACAACACAGTTACATACAATGTGAATACATGTACAGCACCGGCACGTTAAGAGTTGGGAGGACCTGTTATATTTTGGTAAGAGTCAATTACATCGATGGTGCTAGAACTTGGTGTAAACGGTCACTTTGGTGCTAGAAGTTGCGGCATACATTAAAGTGGTGCAAAAACTTGGCTTCAACTTGCAAATACGGTGCAACTCTCATTTGTATACGGTTGTGACGCAGATGAGGCATTACAGCGTGGCATAGGGCCCACCATCAGTGACTGCATGGTGAAAACTAGAAGTGTGGCGTGCTCTTTTTGCAAATAAACCTGTGTATTTTTCTCACAAAAAGGCCCTGACAAGTGTGTGGCATCCAATCGGTCCCACTTCACTAGTAGAAAAAGGGGCTTTCGTTCGGGCCTGGCCAGCCCATTAGTCCCGGTTCTGCCATGAACCGGGACCAATGAAGGCATTTGTCCCGGTTCGTGAGCCCAGGGGGCCGGCCGGGGCCTCGTGGGCATTGGTCCCGGTTCGTCTGGGCCCATTTGTCCCGGCTCTTGGCACGAACCGGGACCAATGGGCCTCGCTCCTGGCCCACAACCATTGGTCCCGGTTCATGGCATGAACCGGGGCAGAAGGATGGCCTTTAGTCCCGGTTCCAGCCACGAACCGGGACAAATGAGTTGCCTATATATACCCCATCGTCGGCGAGCAGAGCACTCCACAGTGCTCTGTTTTTTGCTGGCCGGCGAGGAAGGGCATTTGGGTGCTCTAGCTCACCTCTTATGCATGTGAGGTGTTCGATGAAATGCCCGAGCCACACTAGTTAAACTTTCTCCTCTCGAAGCTCGACCTCTGAGCTCCATTTTTTCCGAGATTTGTCTAGGTTTAGCGCTCCGTCACGCCCCGTCCTCGTCTTCACCGCCGTCGATCGCCCGCGCCGATCTCGTCGCCGGCACCACCGTGGTGAGCCTCTTGTTCTTATCTTCTTTCTGAAAGAAAAAAAATCTTACTTTAGATAGATACTTGTCTAATTTTCTTACTTTTGACACACATAATTATATATAATGCACGCAGATGAACCAGCAATGGATCGGTGACAGACACACCTCTGAGTACATTAAGGGCGTGCATAATTTTCTCGAAGTGGTTGAGGCAAACAAGCAGAATGCTTTTATGTGTTGTCCATGCCCTAATTGTGGGAATACGAGGTCTTACTCTGACAAGAAAATCCTTCACACCCACCTGCTTTATAAGAGTTTCATGCCACACTATAATGTTTGGACGAAGGACGGAGAAATAGGGTATATGATGGAAGACAACGAAGAAGAAGAGGACGATGACAACTATGTGCCCCCTGAATACGGTGATGCTGCAACGGAGGAAGCTGAAGATCAAGAGGAAGCTGAAGATCCAGAGGAACCAGACGATGTGCCCGATGATGATCTCCGCCGGGTCATTGTTGATGCAAGGGAAAAGTGCGAAAGTGAAAAGGATAAGCTGAAGTTCGATCGCATGTTAGAGGATCACAAAAAGGGTTGTACCCCAATTGCGAAGATGGCAACACAAAGCTCGGCACCGTACTGGAATTGCTGCAGTGGAAGACAGAGAATGCTGTGCCTGACAAAGGATTTGAGAAGCTACTGAAAATATTGAAGAAGAAGCTTCCAAAGGATAACGAATTGCCCGACAGTACGTACGCAACAAAGAAGGTCGTATGCCCTCTAGGATTGGAGGTGGAGAAGATACATGCATGCCCTAATGACTGCATCCTCTACCGCGGTGCGTACAAGGATTTGAACGCATGCCCGGTATGCGGTGCATTGCGGTATAAGATCAGACGAGATGACCCTAGTGATGTTGAGGGCGAGCCCCGCAGGAAGAGGGTTCTTGTGAAGGTGATGTGGTATGCTCCTATAATACAACTGTTCAGAAATAAAGAGCATGCCAAGTTGATGCGATGGCACAGTGAGGACCGTAAGAAAGACGGGAAGTTGGGAGCACCCGCTGATGGGCCGCAGTGGAGAAAAATCGAGAGAAAGTTCTGGGCTGAGTTTGCAAGTGACCCAAGGAACGTATGGTTTGCTTTAATCGCGGATGGCATTAATTCTTTCAGGGAGCAGAGCAGCAATCACAGCACCTGGCCCGTAACTCTATGTATGTATAACCTTCCTCCTTGGATGTGCATGAAGAGGAAGTTCATTATGATGCAAATTCTCATCCAAGGCCCTAAGCAACCCGGCAACGACATTGATGTGTACCTAAGGCCATTAGTTGAAGAACACTTACAGCTGTGAAATGGAATAGGTGTACGTGCGTGGGATGAGCACATGGGGGAAGAATTTGACCTAAAGGCGTTGCTGTTCGTGACCATCAATGATTGGCCCGCTCTCAGTAACCTTTCAGGACAGACAAACAAGGGATACCACGCATGCACGCACTGTTTAGCTGACACCGAAAGTATATACCTGGACAGATGCAGGAAGAATGTGTACCTGGGCCATCGTCGATTTCTCCCGACCAACCATCAATGTCGAAAGAAAGGCAAGCATTTCAAAGGCGAGGCAGATCACCGGAAGAAGCCCGCCATGCGTAACGGTGATCACATACTTGCTATGGTCTCTAATTTACACGTAATATTTGGAAAGGGTCCCGGCGGACTAGCTGTTCCGAATGACGCTGAGGGACGCGCACCCATGTGGAAGAAGAAATCTATATTTTGGGACCTACCCTACTAGAAAGAGCTAGAGGTACGCTCTTCAATCGACGTGATGCACGTGACGAAGAACCTTTGCGTGAACCTGTTAGGCTTCTTGGTCGTGTATGGGAAGACAAAAGATACACCTGAGGCAAGGGAGGACCTGCAACGTTTGCACGAAAAAGACGACATGTCTCCAAAGCAGTACGAAGGTCCTGCCAGCTACGCTCTTACCAAAAAAGAGAAGGAAATCTTTTTTGAATTCCTGCTCAGTATGAAGGTCCCGACTGGCTTCTCGTCGAATATAAAGGGAATAATAAATATTCCAGAGAAAAAGTTCCAGAACCTAAAGTCTCATGACTGCCACGTGATTATGACGCAACTGCTTCTGGTTGCATTGAGGGGGCTTCTACCGGAAAACGTCCGATTAGCCATTGTGAAGCTA